GTCAGAAACAAAGCATAATTCTGTTTACTTTACTGACCTTATAATTTAATAAAATGTTCATTTCCTCGTTCTTTTGCATTAACCTCATATCCATAACATTGAGCTGGTGCTGCAACTCTACAAATAGAGCAAAATGACAAACGCAAGTCAGAGAGGTAACAAGTCTCTCCCATCTACTTANTATCAGAGGGATTGTTTTTGGCCAGCGATACTGAAGCTTATATCTAATCAACAGTTTAATTAAGTTACCCTGGCCATCTCCACACCACCCGATCCTTGCTTCGGAAGGGAGGGTCCATAAGCTGCTGGCAAAAGCTGAAAAACGCTATTATAAGAACAACTTTCTCACTGCCAGCGAGTGACATAACATGGAATTCCGTAATTCACCGAAATCAGAACCAACGTAATCACGTGACATAAATAACGCAACGAACCAATCAGAGCTCAGAGTTAGATCAAACGCGAAAGGCCAGTGCCCTTCCCCAATGTTTTCCAACCTAAGCCAAGCACACCAGTTTTGAAGGTCAATCAGAAACCCATTTTAAATTTCCTTTTCGTTCATATCATTTGGGGTCATTCCTCGTTCCATCAATTTTGAAGGTATTTTAAACAATGCGCTCTAGACCAACGCAAGACTCATTTCGTTCGTTCCAAGCAAGAAAACGAGCCTAGTTGAAGTATTAATGTGCCTATCATAGTGTTAGTATACTTCTTGTATCAAATTCCATTTCTCGAGAAGTTTTGCACTTGTGCTTTGTCTCTCGTTCAGGACACTTGGCACAAACGAGTGGGATGTTATTCTTTGTACAGACCCCTAATTACCAACCAGTGTAGGCGGGAAATAAGAACAATTTCTTAGAGTTCAAATCACTGACTGCTAACAACATAGGGGACCCATACAAGCGGCGTATGTTTGTATGTTCGAAATATAAAGAAATGTATGGGAATATTGAAGAGTCTTAATATTGTAAACTTATATCGAGTAATGTCTTTGTTAAAGCTCAAAATAAACGTTAACCTACCTCAGTTGTTGCGTATTGTCGTTTCTGCGGCTCAAAAGAGGAATTTGAGCGACTTGAGGGGTTTTGCGTTGACTGTTACGGCACGTTATAAGGAGATAAGGGTGGAAAGCTCATTTTCGACCGCTCCAGCGCCAAGCCGATTTTTGTGTCTCCTCCTTATACCGTGTAGTAACAGTCAAAGCAAAACCCACCAAATCGCTCAAATTCGCCATTCTGAGCCGCAGGAACGACAATAAACAACAACTGAGGTAGGTTTACGTTTATTTTGAGCTTTGACATAGACATTATTCGATATCAGTTTACGATATTTAGACTCAATATTCCCATACATTTCTTTATATTTCGAACATACAAACAGACGCGCCGCTTGTATGGCCCCCCTTTGGTAACAACCAACAACCAAGTCTGCACGATACCAATACCCCAGACAACCTGCCCCTCAGTTTACAGGAAAGACCGCTACAAGAGGTTCCTGATCAAATGACAACTTTTTTCATCTCTGATCTGTTTTACAACTTGAGTTTACACTGTACTAACTGTTAAAGGCAGAGATTCAATAGCTGACCTATCTGCCCCTACACAAGCATTCTAACAACTTGACCTTTCGCAGTTGTTTCATTCTGGTTGGGCCAAACGAAAGCCCTCAAACAAAGTTGTCACAAATGAATCAAAAACTGTTTAAAAGTAACGGAAAAGAGAGATGCTTGGCGTTCCCATACGAGATAAGAGATAATAAAAGCACCCACACAACAAAATTGTTTCCCATGTTTTGTCATTTTGCTATGTTTTAATCTTTCTGCTGCAGAAAAATTTACAATAAAAAGTCCGTCAGCCTAGATGAGTAGTGACTTCACTGGCCCTTAAAAACAAGCACTTGTGGTTTACAGCAACGAAAAAGAAACGAACAGTTATAAAAGTACTAGAATTACATACATAGATACATACATACAGGCAGCAATCGATTACTTAGAACAAGAGCTGCCACAACAGGGCACAAGCTAACGGGAATCAAGCCATTTTTTGCTAGATGCAATGCTGACATAATCATGAACGAATAAAAAATTTATTGGAATTGTCTGCCAAATATTTTGGCTCCATAACAATAATAATTTATCTCTTTTCTATTTCTTCTATGGTTCAAGAATGGTCAGCCGCAAAGGGAAAGAATCGACAACGAATGCAACACAAAGAAGCATGTAAGGCACAGTCAATCAGACTGAGGCCAAATTAAAGTTATAGAGAAGTTATTAGGTAACTAAAGCTAATGTCAACACAGAAACCCTCCAAATGTTTACTTAGTGGCGGTTGTAGAATAGTTAAACACATTTGCACTAGTTTTTCTTACTATTCGACCAAGCAGGAACTTAACTCGCAATTCTTTGCTAAGTTGGAAGAACAATAAACAAAACCATTGCAACATAATGATCATAGACAAGAGACATCAATGAAAGCTGCCTTAGTGTGAAACATCAGAAACAATCTTTTACCCAACTTCAAGGTTACTTTAACAATGCTTGCATAGAATAAAGATAGTTAGCTTTCCTTTGCATTCATATAAAACTTTCTATGACTAATAAAAGTAAAAAGTGCTACCTTCTGTTAAAATGACTCATATTTTTCCTTTGACAAATTGTGGCTTGGAAACAGTGAAGACTTGTTTTTCCTTCTTCAGTAATAATTCGAGAATCAGAGAGATAAAGCAAGTCTGAAGTTGTTTAAGACAAATCTATGTCTCTTATAGACATGTGTCAGTTCCAATGTTTCAAGCTACTTTACATCCTGATTTTAGTAGTTTTTGGCCTGAACCAAGACAGACACCCTACCAAATCGTTAGCACTGATTACTGTATATTCTCCATTACAGACTTATTTCAATCATGAAGCAGATTGTAGAGGTAAGACAATTAACTTTTTTGTCCTTCAAATTACATGTACAGAGTACAAACACCAGGAATGATAAAAGAAGGCTTAACAGAAAGGAGCTTGATTTCAAACCTTAATGGCCCAAAAGTAAGTAAACCTAAAAATTCTGCAATCTGGTCTGGGTACATTTCTAAGGTACAAGTTCCGATGATTTACCAAATGAAATTACACAATGATAACTTTGAGGATGGAAGGGTTAACAAGTCAAGCTAACAAGAGCTACTTTGTTTAGGATGATACAGAACAGCCTATTCTTACTAAAGACTTTTTATAAAATGCATTGACACTTACATGAAGCATTAACCAAAACTGCATTTTTTTTTTTTTCCTTTCCAGCAGTCTTAAAGCTAACAAAATACCTTTCTGTTAAACCTTCTATACAATTAACTACAACAAAGAGAATAAAATTATCGTGCTAACAGTATAGCAGAAGGGAAAATGGGTGAACGGAAGGGGGGGAGGGGGTAGTTCTGCAACCTGAATACGAAAAATCTAATTCATCTTATTAATATAATGTTTTCTGTGGATTATACAAGATTTACAATGAGACACTACACAATTCAGCTAGATTGCTGAGAGAATTATGTGACAAGAAGAAAAGAGCACAAGAGATGAAGAATTCCAGGCTGAAGCCAGCTTACCCAGAACATACAAAGAAAACAAGATGGGTTTTGCCTAGCTGAAGTTTAAAAGTTAAATTATTGATATCATATACACTTTGTTTATGGCCAATTCAAGGCAGATGAATAACTGCTTTTTTTGTACTGAAATCTCTGCAAGCCAGTGCTGTAAATAATTTTTTACAATGCTTGCAAAAGAAAGGAAGATTAGCAACAGAAACAGGACTTTTTTCCTTAAGCCTATTAATACAAAATTTCTTGTAAGATGGAATAATTGAGAAATCAATCTCACTCTTATGAAAAAAAAACCTCAATGTCGGTTGGAGAGTCAAGTCAAGGGGAAGTGGAATGGACACAATCTGTGTGGACAAACTACTATCTTGTTTATCCTTTTAAGACACATTCTAGCTATATATTTAACACTTGGAAAATATTTCCAGTAGCTTGCCTACGTTCAAAATACTCAACATTAAACTGTGTTGAAATATACTGGAAAACAATTCACAGTGCGGCACTTGTCTCGATAACTTGAATACTAGCTATATTCTCACACAGAAACTTTTGTTTTGGGGTATTTTGTACACAAAAGCACTTCACTTAGAATCAGTCAAAGACAAGCAACCTTAAATAAAGAAATCTCTATTCAACCATTTTGTGATTTTCTACAGTTTTCATCCCCAAGTTGAATCTCTCACATCCTGCTTGCCTTCTTATCTTTAATTCAGATTATAAGATCTCTTACCAACTCTATTCAAACTAGATTATACTCTTTTAGGTTCAACTGCAGTATTGTGTCCTTCACTGCCGCAAATACAAACCGGATATTTTCTGTATCAGTGGCGCACGTGAAGTGGGAGTAGATTATCTTATCTGAATCAGGATTCAGATCGACAAACATTTTAAGAATGAACTCCCGTGCAGCCTGGGCATCACACTGGGGTCCTGCAATGAAATGAAAAATTCAACGATTGAGTTTAACCACTTCCTGCAAACACTTGACATATAACACAACATTGCCACATCACTGCAGGGGTTTCATGAATGTTTTCATCAGGAGGGCAACTGGTGTTCACAGGTGGGCAAAGCTTTATGGACTGAATTTCTTTATAAAAAGAACTTTCCTCTAGATGGTCAAAGCTGGTGGGCAAAATTGTTCTCACAGTCGATCAATTTGCCTGGTGCCCTGCCCTTAACGAAACCACTGCATTGCCAAAAATCCAGTGAACAGAACACTAAATTCCACAAAAACATGTAGTGTGAAATGATGGGGGTGGATTAGGAAAAAAATCATTTCACAAGCTTTGTTTTTTGACATTTTTTTTTTTTTCACATTTGGCCCCTTGTTTTTCTTTTTTGTGTGTTTGTATGGTGAATGAGATCCATCTGTTTGGAGGCTGAATTTCAGTTGTGTCTTCTGGTTGCTTACTTCCAAGAAAGATGTGTCTGAACTCAGCGTCTAGAGTGCTGGCTAAAATTCAGGTAACATCATCTAGCATTTCCAAACTATTTCAAGACTTTTAGTATTTTTTTTTTTTCAATTTGCAAAAAGAGCAGAAGACAAAGATTACGGGACTGTTACTCTCCAACTCAGATCAAGATGACAGTTTTCTTTGCTAAATTTAGACAAACTTTGTTTTATCAAGCATAAAAAAGTAATGGAAATGCAGATGTCTGGATTTATGAATGGTGTATGCGAAAATTACACCCTTTTGGCCTAAACTCAGTCTATGCATTTTTTCTCCAAACTAAGCAATATAAACATTGAAAGGAATGTCAATCTTTTTTTCCCATCTTCACTCTCTTATCCTCCTTTTTGGACTCTTCTACTTTTTCATCACTCAGAGTGACTTTCAGGTTTTTACAAGTCAAAAAATCAAGCCCTGAAGCTCAATAGATGCAAATGAATGATGTTTTCGTTAACACTGTTTTCACAAATACCATTATACATACAGGTGACAAGTGAAACTTCAATCTTACCATCAAATTCAGGGAAATATTCCACCAAATGCGAAAACATAATTTTCTCCTCCAACAAATCCTTCTTGTTTAAAAATAATATGATGGAAGAGTTCTGAAACCAGGGGTATGTGATAATGGTACGAAATAACGCTTTGCTCTCCTCCATTCGGTTCTAAAAAGGACAGAGCAAAATGTGCATTAACATCTACACTAATTAACACATTTATGACTGTGTTTACACCTGGTGTCCAAGCACTTGCGTGTGGGCTACAGTGCTAAAAAGTGTTGCGTTCTGACACTGGGCAATCTAAGTACCCAAGTACTATTCAGTTCCCGAGTACAAGGCCGACGAATGAGCACTGTGCCCAAATTCAGGTGTGGGTACTCACAAAAAAGGTGTGTTCACATTAGTGCCAGCACGAATCATAATCAGGTGCTACATGTGAACATAGCCATAGAAAACAATTCTCATGTTTCTATCAGGTTATAGAAACACGAGTGGAAGTTTGGAGAAACACAAGCCGCAGTTGGCTGTTTCTACAGCTTTTTTGAGTCCTCTCTAACTTTCAGAAGTTTTGCCATAACTCAAAACTGTGGAGGGCATGTTGCACATGCACACTGCAGGAAAATGACAGGAATATTATTCTTATAGTTTGATTACCAAGATGTACATTCTCTTCACTAGTACCATCATTAAATCAACAGCTTGTGTTAGTTTGCTGTTACTATTCAGTTATAGAAATATCAATGGCTTTTGGCATGCACCTTTTTTCAAGGCATTTTCTCACACTGTAAGGCTGCATTACAGCGATGGCCTAACATGTCATATCTAAACAGAGCTTACGCACTGCTAGTTCACTCATGCTACAGAAACTGCAGATGGGCACTCATCATGTAATCACAGTGGGTTTAAGAGCACCTTTCTACTTATCTGAATCTCCATTTGAGCAAATTAAAACTAATGATAATAATATCTCCATTTCACACTTGTGTCCACTATATGTGACCTCTCACATGGCAATCTACAGTAACCTACCTGGGTTTTAATACATGGATGAAAAAATGATGCTCTTCTACTGATGAGTTGCAACCGTGACATTAGGAAAGAATAGTATGAAGAGCATGGAGTGAAAAAAATTCTAACCAAATAACACTGAAAGGCGGAATGATTCAATAATAACCACCTTGTTTTAGGGAAAGTTGATAACGAAAGAAGGAAATCTGCTCAACACCTTGGTCAACTTTTGCAGCTTTCTGACACATTTTACAATACACCGAGCTATTGCTTTAATCCAAGGCCTACATTTCCGCACCAATGGTATAAAAGAACCCTTTCAATGCTCTTGCTTGGAAGCCTCGCCTCTCTTTTCTTTGCTCATGGTGGAGAAACATTACCAAGTACCATGAAATATCACCACCAAGCTTACAATGCTATGAACAGGATTTGCATTTTAGTTGGTGCAGTCTCCTCTTTACCATTTTGACTCCTTAGGAGAACATAGGGTGTACACCATGCCTCTCAACCAAACTCTGTTTGGGCTGATTTTTGTAGCCTCTGGCCAAGACAGTTTCTTTGCTTCAAATACGGTTGTCTGCATCTAAACGTGGACATCTGACACCGAAACATGCTCTAATTGGGTGTCAAACGTGGCATGATTTGTCATCAAACATTTGAAGTTTAGCAGACCGTAATGCAAACTTTCGCACTCTGAAAGACTCTGAAAGTCTTGCTTCAGGCAATATTTCGTGGTTATACTAGCAGTGAAACCACTCTCGCAAAAGGCGTATGCATATTGACACAGGTCAGGGTCAATTTCTCTGAAGAAGTCTTTAATGTCCAATCTTTCACCATTTCATGTGCTGAACTTTGAGCACAAAAGTTCATGTTACAGTCTGCTAAACTTCAAATGTTTGATGATCAATCATACCATGTTTAACACCCAATTAGAGCATGTTTTGGCGTCACGTGTCCTCGATTTGATGCAAGCAACAGTGCAGCAGTACCTCACAAAAAAAACTGTCTGTTGCCAGCCACATAAAATTGGCCTCTAATCAACGAAGCTAACAAAACATGACCCATCTGTTTTGCGAAAGCTAGGAATGGTTGGTGACCAGAGGAAATGTTGAAAGACCTGTACTTCAACTTCAACAGAATTAAGAAAATTTGCCTCTCAAAACTAATTTATCCAGTTGATGAATGTTTGTGTCTTTTTACTTGTCAAAACGATTTTAAGGTTGCCTTGAACAACCAGACAACTGCTTAGGCTGATCCTTGCAGATAACCCAAGATAGTTGCTCGAATGCATGGAGACTTCAGATTTGGTTATATACAGATGACCATAACCACTGAAATGAGAATTTCTTTTTGAACAGATTAGAGCCACTGTTTAAATGATTTTCAAGTGAGAGTTCAATAACGCTTTAGCAAGTGTCCCAATTGTGGTAAAGTACAATGTTGAATGTTCAGAGTTTTACGTTATTGCTGTTAAGAAGCCAAAGCTTAATGTACTAATTCACAACAGTACTCTCTTTTTTGTGTGTCCCCAATTAATTATCTTGTTGAGACAAATACAGATCTATATACATATAACTTTATAACAATTTTAATTTATTTCAACACAATCTCACCTCATTGGCTGATTCTACAAGGACTTGATCATATTCGCTGAGTGCCACAAGAAACATAATTGACGTCACATTCTCAAAGCAGTGAATCCACTTCCTTCTCTCAGACCGCTGGCCTCCAACATCAACCATTCTGTAAAAAAGCATCACTTAACTTAGACCTTTGTAGATTAAGACATTGAAAAAGACCTAGTCAATTTGTGGTGACTAAAGGCATCAACTGATTAAACCTTTTGGTGGTCTAATCCTTCCTTGAGAGTCACTAAAGGGCGTTCGCATTTTTTGAACTCCCTAACACAACTTGGCTGGCAATTAGACCTACTAGGTTCCCAAATTTGATGAAGATTGCTCTTACTTCCTTTGAGTTGGAAGACAAAACCATCACCTACAATATACTTGACCAAACAGCAACGCGAATCTTCATGCCCTCTCTCTAGAAAAGTCCTGTGTTATTATAACATTACACCAAAACACATGCCGAAACCTTAACTTAACCAAAAACAATCTTGCTGTAAATCACTGTCAATGTTTCTGTGATTTTTAAGGAGTATTCAATAAGTTCTTGATCACTTATCACCTCAAGAAACAAACTACAAAGTTATTATAAGGCACACAAAGTCTTATGGCTCCATTTTCACGACGACTGCATTTTACACAAAAAGGCGCAAGTGTAACAATTTTAGTCTTACAAACTGACAAAGGTAACAAATGCCAGCCCTCAAAAGTATGGTTCCAAATGTAGCTAGGTTTATACTTTAGTGCCATCTGTAAACAAAAAATATTTATTTTCTGCTTTGTGCAATCTGGATATGAGTTAATCCTATGCTACAATTAAATCTACCCTAGAGTCTTCTTGATTTACCAAGCCAGTACCAATAGAGACTGGTTTTCCTAATCATATTTAAAGCAACTATGATGTGTATGTAGTTCAGTAATACAAGTTACATCCCCACCCCTTTCTTTTGGATGGGACATGACTCCATTACAGGTTACACCTATACCTGCCAACTTTTTCTGAGTCATAGGCATGAGATTTTTATCCTGGGAGTGCCGGGCTTTTCTAAGACGACACAAACATATCCGAAGATTCCAGAAGACATCCAAAAACTTCCGAAGATAGCGGAAGCGGAAACAGCCCTGACATTCCCAGTCCCAGTCTCAGGACATGTATCGCTAAACATGACCTCACTCCCAGTGCTTTCTATTTGAAAAAGGAAGTATTGTCATTTACACAGAGTTTTCATTTCTTACATCAGTTTGAGTTGACATATTTTAGGAAATTGTGTCAAGCAAAGCTGCAACCACTCACATTTTTCAATCAGGCCTGAGAATTTGGCCCATAAGCATGACCCGCCGTAAGATCAAAGTTTTCAATCCGCAGGCGCGAGACTCACGCCTGAGGCGTGAGAGTTGACATGTATAGTCACACCCTGAACCACTGACCTAAGTGAAATTGTAAGCTAAATCACATTTTTCTTATTTCCCGACTAATACATTTGAAGCTTGACATCAGCAATCTGGCCAGACAAAGACAGGCTATCATTTCAAGCCTTACTATGAGTTTTGGCCAGCCTGTTTAAGTAGTTGCCTCCATTAAAAATTTGGAATTTATTTTAAGTTCCTGTAAAAGGCTATGCATTGAAAAAATACATCAATATCAACAAAGCATTTCTTCTGATATTGCCTTAGTAAGAATTTTAGTCTGGCTATGACCATGACCCGTCACTTTGGTACAAAATTCCACTTGGCACCATCCTCAACTAGTCTCTGGATGGCCATTTATGTCCAGTTTCTGCATTATGTTACCATTACATGAAGGGCAGACAACATTTCCTGCCATCTCATTGCTCACTGCCCGGTTACAACAGTTTTTGCTATACTGCACAAATGATATGCAATTTTCAGTTGGATGAGAATGCATCACATGATATGCTACCTACGCACTGTTTAACTCGATCAGTGGCATAAAAACAGCTTGCGCTTTTATCTGTCATGTGATACAAGTTACGTGTTCCTCAAATTTGGGGCATTGTCACAGCCTCAAAGTTGGGGCACTGTCACAACTACGACAGCAACACCACTAACAACAATGATTAAGAAATACATTTACAACTAAAAAAGGAACCTTGCAACAAGGTATACATGAATTACATGCGGACAAAATTGGTTATGTGGAAAATGGTGAATTTGTACAATCATCCAGGGTCTCAGGAAACCAAAACTACTGTTTCCCCTGGATTCAGTCACAATGCTTCATAAAATTTGTAGAACACAAGGAGAGGTTATCTGAAGATCACCTTACTACTCCTCTTTAACACTCTTCACAAGGTCTTCAATGTTGCAGAAGTTCAGCCCACAATCAAACTACAACAGTCCCTTCTCATACTAGCAAGCAGGTTTGCCCAACAAAATAATCCAGAGCTAATGGTCACCTAATAAATCACAAAACCTTGCTCAACTGTCTTTATGTGATAGTGATCACTGGTGATTTTTATCATATTTTTGACTTAGAAATCAAATTTAATGTGCAATCTAGTATTGAATGATCTGATTCAACTTGTTTCAAAGAAATTGCGAGATAGACAACACACCCAAAATCCTCGTAGAAACGTTGATGAAGAAAATTAGCAAACACACTCTATCACTAAGAATTTGGCTCAATGCTTTTTTTTTTGTATTGCCTGTAAAATAATGTTGTCCTTTTTAACACAGACCTGCATTTTCAACACAGACTAGCATCCCTTCCCATTACAACTGTAGTTTTAACATAGAATAAAAACATGCTAAAATTTGCAAATCAAATAAAACAAGATATTTAACAAAAGGTGCACATCTGACTGATAGTTGGGATTCTTTACATTCTCAACCCAGCACTGAAAAAAATGAATAACAATTTACACAAAGTTGACATAATTTGTTTCTGGAAATCCTGTTTCTAGGGAATAACCTGCTCAAGATGTGCCACAATGAAAAATGCTGAGCCATAGTATACTTCAGATGAGTGAGTTATTGCAAAAATTCTGTATGCAGTGCCACAGGCCACAAGTAAACAAAGTGTTGCAAAATGGATAGTTTGTACAACCTGACTCCAGACCTCCTTATGTTCAAATGCAAAATATTTATGATGACTAACTAAACATTTTCATTTAACCCTTTATGTAGATTCACGGCTTATAGAAAAGCCACCAAACCACCTTAACATCCTGTGTGGGAGATATTTCCTGTCCATTTAAGGCGAATTTGAAGGGGAAAAAATTGAGGTCCCTAACAAAAAAATGCCATAAATTAAAATTCGAATCGAGATAGAAAGGCATAACCCTTTATCGGCCACAACAGGAATCGAAAAGATTGCTACCGTTGCTTGGAGATCAAATAACAGCATTAATGGCTGAAAAGAAAATTAAGCTTACCTAAAAATTATCGTTTCGAGATCAAACGGGTACTCTATGATCCCAGACGTGGGAGCTCTGGCTCGAAGAACGTCCTGTTCCGTCGGAAGATAATCTGGCTTGGCTATTCGATCTAAGTCGGTGAGATAGCTGAAAGTTTAGCAAGAGAAGTACCATTAGATTTACAGCATACAAAATGCAAAAGAACAAAAGTCAACTTCGTTTTAAATGAAGGGGCAAGAAACTCCGCTACGATCGCCTGCCCTCGAAAATACATTCATAGCAGCATAGAAAGCATTTTTTTCAAAGACAAAAAATAATGTTCCAAATCGAATTTCTTCGTTCGCTGAGTTACATGCGGGTCAGGGAAACTAAATGAATAAAATCGCTAGTCTCAAACGATGGAGCACGTCAATGACCGCACACAATTTGCAGCAGAAATTGACAAGCGACCTCTACCGGGCGAAGATATCATACTCCGTCCACAAAATATTGATTCGAACATGTTCTTTGATACCATACATGTTTCAAAATCAAAGTAATACCAGAAGGAGGGAAGTAATGTATTCGGCCAGCATGAGTAGTCGATGTCGGAAACAAAGGCATTGTGGAGGATATTCCAGATGGAATCACAGAAAATACGAATATGGCGTGAATTGCTAGTACGTGTGACAAAATAGAAAAAAAATCGAACGTTTGATCGAGGCGGCGATGTTACTTCCATTGAACAAAACTGAACATTTCACTCTAAAAAGAAATACGCTGAAAGTGAACTGACATAAACATAAACTTGAGCTTACTATTTCGCAGAGTCGCTAAGTTGATATTCTCTTCTTCTGTCGTAGCATTCTTGCATTCCTTGGTCGGTCCAAAGAGATTTCGTAGCTATGTAATAATCTTTTTCGAAGGTGGTAACATTTTTGGGGTCAACTTCTCTCATGGTCTTGGCATGCTCCTAAGGGAAAATGGAAATACAGGTACATAAACATCAAAACAAAATCCGTTCAAAAAAATCAAGTTCATCTATTTTAATTCGCTACGGAGGCGTTTTGAGAGCGGGCAACTTCTGAAGCAATTGACGAGAAACAAAGTATATCTAATAAACAAGGTCATAACGCATTCTAGAACGCAATTCATACCAGATTTGCTGGATCCTTGTAAGCTATCTTCAAGGATTCCATCGCTATAGTTAGGGATTGTATGGCCGTGATAATATTCTGATGTACCAAAGCGACATAGCCTCGTTTGTCCTCATCGCTGTACCCCTGCCCGTGGATAATTCTCATCTGTTTTATGAAGGTACTTTTGCCTGATTCTCCAGTTCCTGTGAAAAGAGCACATCCCACAGTTAGCAACATCCCGTGCCCACAGACTGAGGAAACAACAAGACCAGGCTGTGGGCTGTGAACTTCAGATTTGCTGGCCTACAATTTATAAGGTCTATAAAGTTTCTTATTCCATATGCAGGCTAAAAGAAGGTCCTAATTTATTTAGTGGCAGTAAGGATTAAATTTTAGCATTTACTCCAAATATGATAGTGCGCTAACAACATGGAGTCGGCAAAGGTCTGGAACAATCGCTCGCTGCACTACCATCAGTAACTTTACATCAAGTGATCTCGCTCATCCAGCACAGCAATACACAGACCGTGTATATAAATGTACATCTATATAAGTGTATATAGCATATATATGTATATAAATTGCTATATAAATGTATATGTTTTATATTTATATTTTTATCTGTATTTTATCGAGCGAGCATCCATCCATGCGACCAGGTTCGACTGCAACAGAGCCCTGCATTTCATGCAGATTTAATATAAAATATGAATGCGTTCCAGTAAAACATAAGCCATGCTCACCAAGTAAAAGTAATTTCAGTTCTCTCCTTTGATTCCTTTTATCCTGCTTTAGCTGCTTTTCGATCTCGGCGTTGATTCGTCTGATCTCTTTCTGCTCCTCACTCAAACAGCACGTCATCTTGAAAGAACAAATTGCCTCCGATCGCCACAACTAAAACCAGCGATGGCGTCGAAAGGAACTATAGTTGTCCTTTTCGCTACTCGAGCCCCGAATGGAGCTACGAGTTCACTGAAACTACCGAATTTATTCTTCCAAAATGGTGAACCTCTCGGTGTTGTAGGGCGTAGGCGAGCTTCGAAAGCTTTTCCCAGCAATCATTGAAAAACGTCCACAAGTGTAACCAATCCAAATAAGGCCAACCCCTCCATATTTGGATGCAAATTTTCCTCGCCCCAGACAGAAAATGCCGTATTTTTCCGCCCGTTAGGAACGCCTGGCGATATTTGATGCCTTTTTCTTCCGCCATTTTGTCTCTGAAAAATGGTTATAATTTTTACCGCTTTGGTGTGGTGGTATTGTTTCTAAAAGGACAATATGTGCGGCATTTTTCCCTGTCAAATTTATATTTTACATGAGAAGGAGAAAATAACGCCCACCTGGGGGAAGAAATGTTTTCAAGTACTGTAAGTCTCATAGCATATGGTTTGAACCCAGGAGTATCAGTAGTTCGTACAGTGTGATCGACCGGGTGAGGGTAGTTCTGAAAAGAACTGTTGTTGGTGACTGAACTTCCAACAACCTGAGTGGAAGTCATCTTCAGAGTCAAGAGTCTTGACTCTGAAGATGACTTGCACTCAGGTTGTTGAAACATCAATAACCAACAACAGTTCTTTTTAGAACTACCCTCACCCAGATGATCACACTATACAAACTGTTGTCTATTGAAAAATAAGTTATTTAGCTTGGGTCCGTAATTTATTTTTTGTTTGTTTGTTTAGAGGTAATGCAAGTGTGAATTAAAAAGGTTTTGGTATTTCAATTCAGCATCAATTTATTTCAGGCAAATAATATATTGTGCTTGAACAAATATTGATTTTTTTCCCTCAAAACCAGCTCATTCAGTTTCTATGAGATACTTTCACATTTGTACACACACTGATGTAATATGAATTACAATGATGCATCAAGTTTGCTAAAATTAACTTCAGGCCACTTCAAACAACTTTAAGAAATGAAGAAATGAAGCATGATTTTCACTAGCTAAGGGCCTGACTCATATATATAATTATAGGAAGTAGGAACAAGAGCAGCAGATTGTGTTTTAGATTTAAAAAAATGTAGTTTTCAAAAAGTAAGTCATGAGTTAGTTTGATCATTCAGTACTGTAATGAAAGCATTAGCTTGTAACTTTTATAGGAAAGTTTTGAGTTCAATCTGAAAGTAATTAGCGTTTGGTAGGTTGATTCCATCTATTGCAAGGGGGTGGCATCATATAGAAAAGTGGCAGGAACAATTGTCAATAAGTTTGAAAAGAAACTCTAAAACATATTTAAGAATCTCATGTTATGGGTGTGGGTTTTAATTACTTCAGTTTGCCCCAGTTCGAAAATTAAACAAAGATAACTGATGTTATCTCATAATAGCTACAGAGATATTGCTCACTCATTCATTCTGAGTCTTTGCCTTGGCAGGATAATAAGGCCATAAACAATGGGCGATATAATAATATTTGCAGAATATATCCATACCCAACCATGAGCAGCCTCTTCATATAATCCAACAATAATTTTGAAGCATTTTTTAGCCTGACTAGAGTCTAAATTGGAAGGTGTAGATTTTTTATTTATGTAGGCAGTGAGAAATATATATATTTTTTTAAGTTTCAATCTAGCATGCGATCTACTAACATTAGGCCCTCCAATGCTTTGTTTGCCTTTCCTCTACTCAGTTTAGATATGTGCGATCTCAGTTTTGGTTCAATTTGCATATCTGTATTCCCCTCTGGAAGTCCAGACCTGAAAAAAAAAAAAACTCTGTCTTCAGATCTCCAGTGCAACATAGTAATTATCTCCTATGACCTCGGAATTCCAGTCTAACTGCCCCTTTGCCACCCCCCATCCCATATAGAATCTCGAGATGCCACCTGCATTAGTACAAAAATGATTGCTTCAAATTTCATTTTCTGAGAAGCAATTCCTGTTAAAATGTTTACTTGCAGAATTCTCTGTAATTAGCACTGACAGCAAGAACATAAGCAACACATTGAAAAAAGTGAAACAAGACATGATTTATTCTGAAAAAAATTGGAGTGAAAACTCCTGACACAACAATCACCCTGGTCACATCTGCTTAGGATCCCTCTTGTCATGGGATACATCACAAATGCAACTCACTACATATTGTCAGTTTTTTTATGGAAATTTACAAGCTCTGATTTGTCTAGCTGATTAGTTTGCTCTTTCAAACAAACTAATATTACAGGGTACAACTCGTCAGCCTTGTATTTTTGCCTTGTTTGAATGACATGGGTGATAACCTAATGTACGTTAATTTTATGAAATCAGCAGATTTTTATGGTTAGGATGTTCAAGCCGTAAACACTTGATATTTCTTCATATTACATTGTTTTTGGTGACTGTAGATCAGAGGCTCTTAATACAATCGTACAAGATTGGCATATTAACAGTGTAAAAACACTAATTAAATTTAAATACTATTGTTAATAAGAAGAGCCCTCATTCTGTGGTCACTGAAAAAATTAACCAAAAAAATGTCACAGTTTGAGTGTCTTCACCGTAAAACTTGGGTAAATTTTTGTCATTTTTTTACTGTGTAAATTAGTTATACTGTCGCATGTCTGGATATTTGGTCTTGTTTGTGCCCCCGTCCAAGAAATCCATTAAGGAATTTTTTTTTTCTCCTCTGATCTGGTGGTAAAAGTTGAAGAAGTCAGATGTTGACTTACAATGCAAGCTATGACAGTCCAATATTAGGCAACATTGGTTAAATTATATTCAATTTAGTATTCACCAGCTGGACACCTTTGGCATTTTTTTAAATTTATTTTTGTATTTATTTATTTTTGCATTTAACACAGTGGCGCCTGTGATGCACGCAACTGCCAGTGACCAGTATTCGTCTTTGTTCCACTTCTGGCATCACTTATACTCAAGTTCTGCAGGAGGAAAAGATCTTCCCACCCTGATCAGAGTGATCTAAGAAATATCCCTGAGTCAATCAACAAGCATCTAACAGAAATATTGTCTGACAAGGAATGTTTTGACAAGGCCAAAAGCACATACCGGATGCACTTAACAAAAGTGGTTACAATTACAAACTGTCTTACCAAGAAACAACCCCTGATGTACCACAACCATTAAGCCACAGAAACTGTCAAAGAAACATAACATGGTTCAAACTGAGCTATAGCTGCATGAGCAAAGTCAAGACCATAACCTCCAACATCAACAAGGCAGAACTTAACAACAAATTAAAATCCTCTGATGAAACAAAAAAAGTCTGTAATTGCCACAACAAGAATTCTTGCCCCTGGACAGAAATCGTAATGTGAGGAACATTTACCAAGCAGAGGTTGCCACCCCAGAATCGAAAGAAAAATACATCGGTCTTTGCGATGCAACTTTCAAAGAACAGCATGGAAACCACACAATCATGCTCTTTCAGAAATAAATGGTACTGAAATGTAACTGAGCTAAGTAAACACATATGGAATCTGAAGGACCGTGAAATATTGCAAAATCAAATGGACAAAAGTGAAACACGCGAGAGCGTATTCGAAAATCAACAAAAAATGTAGTCTGTGTTTATGGAAAAAGTTTTTCATCATTTGTAAACCAGAAATGTTAACACTTAATCATGGAAACAAACTGACATCGACCTGTAGACTTTAAGATCGGTTTTGTTTATTTGCAGAAATTTCTGATACCAGTCTGGTTACATACCATTATTTCTTAATTGTATTTTATTTTCAAGACCGTTTAAGACTTCATCATCCAATAACATCTTGATATGTCACACTGGAAGCCATTGTTCCCTATTTTAAAATGTGTACATATCTAAGATTGTAGCATTATTTTTGGCAGTTGCCTGATGATTGCTTCACGGGAAGCTTGAAACTTGGAGTAGCAAATAAATGTGTTTGAATTAGTTCGACTCCACAAATCTATCTCAGAAATAAATTTATGTATATTAAACTTTTTAAGCTTTTTTAGAGTGGTAGAAATTTTCATGGGCATCTTTAGATAATAACCAAAGCATTATTTATCAATGTATAATGAATAAATGTCTTTATAATCTGATAGAGTATAGCACATCATTTTGATTGCTCAAATGGCTGACAGAAGCCAAACTGAAGCCCTTTTAAGGGGTCAGGGTGTATAGATGTCCCCCATCTGAATTTCAAATTTCTAAATTTTTCATGTTCAAGTTTCTGAAGTGTTTCAACAAAAGTCATGTCATTTGTCGACATAAATTTTTTAGGGGCTCTCAGGGGTTTGGGGGAATAAGGGAACATGATCATTTATTTCAAAGAAACGAGGGATAATTTTGGAATTAATCATAACAATTACAATTCCTTCAAATGTGATTTATGATGGTAATAGGACTAAGTGGAGTCCCATTCGGTCTGTAATCATACGAGTGATTAACAAAATCACACGACCGCAAAGCGGGAGTCCAATTTGTTAATCACGAGTATGATTACAGACTGAATTGGATTACTCAATGTCCTGTTACTAATTAATCAAAACTATGACAAAATTCAAGAAATGAACAAACCATCGATTGATCGCTGAACGATTAAATGTCGTTATGAATGCTGAAAAACACAGCAGTTTATTCAACAAAGTGCACCACAACAGCACGCGCAAAATGCCTACTGTCCAATTACAAGCATGATGCATACACTGTCCAATTAATGCTCAAATCAGGCTGCTGATAGCCAATCATGTTCGAGAATTTTGTTATAGTTTTGATTAATGCATAAACTGCTGTATTAATAGCTCTATTTTATTAATCTGCAAAGTTGTGATCGGACAGTTGGCTGTAATCAGACACCTGCAATGATTAATTGGACAGTTACATGAACCAATCATTTTAAGTCCTCTCCACTAAATCCACCAATCACGACATTGATTACAATCACTATTCATAGCAACCAATTCAAGAGACGGGACTTTGTAAAATTGTGGAGGTTTAGTCTCCGGTGACTGTTTTGAAAGAAACTTAACAGCCATTTTGCGAGCTAATTTTCTCCATATTTTTAATTATGATATTTAAAAATGACTTCTATTAAAAGCTCTTTTTCAAATGAAACATTTACTTTCATGGGA